TAGATGTTGGCCCTCCCTGGGTGGTGTCTGCTTAGCTTTTCCTGGAACCCTGTGCTGTCTGCCACGGCAGCTGTGTGGGTTGGGCTCCCATGTGGTCAGGCTGGGCCCCATTATGTGTGGCCAGACTGCTCTGGGCTCACATTATTAGAATCGTTAGTAGGAGGAAAGGGTGGACTGGAAAGGCAGCTCAGTCAGTAAAGCGTGTGCCACAGAAGAGCATGAGAACCTGAGTTCAGAGACTGAGCACACCCCTAAAAAAGCTCTGAGCCCTGGCTGGAAATTGTAATTCTCAGTTCTGGAGATATGGAAACAGGAACTCACTGGAGCTTGCTGGCCAGCCATGCTAGCTCCAGTTTGGATAGAAGACCCCACCTCAAAAGCAGGGAGGAAACTGACTGAGAAAGATACCAGATGTCCATCTCTGGTCTCCCTATATATGTGTACACACGCTTACACTCATGCCAAAGATTAAAAAATAGAAAAAGAAAAGCAGGTCAAGTAAGAACTGGAGGCAGAGGAGCAGTCAAAATGATAAAGGACAAAAGGAAACATCTGTCCTAATGTCATAAAAATAAACATGAGATCAGAGAGAATGAGCTCTCGGGCAAAAGTTTTGAATAGAGGCAGTTCCTCTAGAAGAAGGGATGGCATGAAGGAAGGGGCATGAGGGCACTGCTGACAGAGACAAGAGGATCCCATAGCATAGAAGAGAATGAGCCCTGAAATGGAGTATATATAAAATAAAGTAATTTAGGACAATGAATTTTTAAACATAGACCTGGAACTCCTGGGATCCTCTTGTTACTGCTTCCCATGGGCTGGGGTTATAGGCATGAGCTACCATTTCAAGCTGGAGATGAAATCTCTTTTAAAGAAATCTCTTCCTCCTGTATTAAGAAGTTTTTTTTTCTCATATAAATATAGATCAGGCCTGGGAGATAAAAATGGGCTTGATTGCTAAAATCCATTTTTAAAAGCTGGGTTTCAGTGCACACACAAGTAATCTTTGTTGATGTGGGAAGGTTATTTGTCTATCTGTTGCTTTCATTGGTTAATTAATAAAGAAACTGCTTGGCCTGATAGGTCAGAACATAGGTGAGTGGAGTAGACAAACCAGAATGCTGGGAAGAAGGGAAGTAAGGGCAGACACGATGGAGCCAGCCGCCAGGTCAGACATGCTGAATCTTTCCTGGTAAGCCACCACCTCGTGGTGCTACACAGATTATCAGAAATGGGTTAGTCAAGATATGAGAGTTAGCCAAGAAGAGGCTAGAGCTAATGGGCCAGGCAGTGTTTAAAAGAATACAATTTTTGTGTTGTTATTTCAGCGCATAAGCTAGCCAGGCGGACAGAAGCCGGGCTGCAGGAACGCTGCCTGCAGCTCCTTCTACACTTTTTGCTGGAGAGGCAGAGACAGGTGAATACCTGGGACTCACTAGTCAGCCAGTCTGATGGGAGACTCCATTGCCAACAAAAGGTGCTTGACAACCAATAGCCAATGCTGTCCTGTGACCTCCACATGCAGGCACATACATCTGCACATGCACGCGTGTGCTCGCGCACACACACACACACACACAGAATTAAAATATGAATAAATCATTTTTGGAGATTTCTTTTTACTTTTTTGTTTGTTTGTTCGCTTGTTTTTTGAGACAGGGCTTCTCTATTCAGCCCAGGCTGGCCTGGAATTCACTCTGTATACCAGGCTGGCCTTGAACTCACAGGAATTCGCCTACCTCTGCCTCCTGAGTGCTGGGATTAAAGGTTCACAACACCACAGTTCAAGTAATCTTTCAAGATTTCATGGGTGTCCTGAACCCAGTATGTTTTGTCCCTGTAATATAAGGGAAGAGGATAAATGACAAAGGCAGATATATTTCTACTCATAGTCAAAGGTGGGAGGAAGACACACTTTTACTTTTACACAATATGAATTAAGGGCATGAGAATCAACCCATCGTTGGTCCCCTCGTGTAGAGGAGAATTCTTGGGAAGACACTCTCTGCTTAAGATGATTGACTAATAAGGAGAATGACAGTTTCTTGTGGCAGTATATCTGTTTACACTGTGTGAAGATGGGTCACTGTGTTTAATAAAGAGCTGAATGTCCAATATCTAGGCAGGAGGGAATAGATCAGATTTCCAGGGAGATGGGGAACTCTGGGAAGGAGAGAAGCAGGGAGACGCCAGGAAACCACTGAAGAGGTCTGACATATTGTACTGAGTAGAAGTAAGCAAGCCACATCCAGAATGTAGATTAATAGATGCAGGCTAATCTAAGTTATAAGAGCTAGCTGGGGGGGGGAGGCTGGAGAGATGGCTCAGCGATTAAGAGCATTGCCTGCTCTTCCAAAGGTCCTGAGTTCAATTCCCAGCAACCACATGGTGGCTCACGACCATCTGTAATGAGGTCTGGTGACCTCTTCTGGCCTGCAGACATACAAGACAGACTATTGTACACATAGCTAATAAATAAATAAATATTTTAAAAAAGAGTTAGCTGGGGACAAGCCTAAGCAAAGACCAAGTTTTCATAATTCATAATTTTGTAAGTTCTCCATGCCATTATTTGGGGACTGGTATTCCAAAGATAATCTGACAAGAAATCTTGCTACAGTTTCTCTTTTTTGTTTTGTTTAGTCTGTTTTTTCAAGACAAGGTTTCTCTGTGAACAGTCTTGGCTGTCCTGGAACTCACTTTGTAGACAGACCAGACTGACCTCAAACTCACAGAGATCCACCTGCCTATGCCTCCTGAGTGCTGGAATTAAAGGTGTTCACCACCATGCCCTGTTCCCTGAAGAGCCATTCCTTGCTCATTTCTGTGTCAGACCTAATAAACAGATTAAAAAACAAATAAACAAAAAACCCTTTAGAATGTATTAACTTAGCAAAACCCTATCTAAGAACACTAACAGCTAACGTCTGAGGCCTACAATAAGCTTCCTCTGTCTGTTCTAAATGACCAATTAATGTCTCCACCAGAGTATTTTTAAATGCCTTTGTTGTTATTTGTTTGTTTGTTTTGGAAAGAGTCTCACTGTGTAGCCCTGGCTGGCCATGAATAAGAGATAAGTTTGCCTCTGTTAGGATTTAAGGCTTGTGCTGCCACGTCCTGCACAAAAATGCCTTCATCCATATTTTTCTTTGTTCTGTTACTGTAAAACTCTGCAAGGCTTAGTGGCACACACCTTTAAACCCAGTACTCTGTAGGCAGAGGCAGGCAGATCTCTATGAGTTTGATAGCAGCCTAATCTACATAAAAAGTTCCAGGCTAGCCAAGGTCTCAAAAACAAAACAAAAAACATGAAACTGCATGCATATTGGAACACGGTGTTTGGGGAGACCTAAATACACATTCCTGGACCATGATCACTCAGATCTGGCTCCTGAAAGAGGTCACAGGTGTGGTTTGGGTTTTGGTCTGTTTTTGTTTTGTGCCACAGTTGCTTGCTCCTTTATTCCTCCTTAGTTTCTTCATCAATAAAATAGGAGATCATCCAAATTCTTTCCGGTTTATAGTCTGATTGTGCCTGGAAAGCCTTCCAAAGTCAACAGAAATCAGCCTTCTGATACAATGCCTATCTCAAGTAGGCCAAGGTCAGAATAGGATGTGTATATAGTGCTTGCCTGCACAAGCCTCGCCTGGGGCACAGCCAAGGGTTAGGTGTCAGTTGAACTATTGGGAATGGCACTGGGGAGTGGGGTATGAGCCAGAGACACAGTGCCATGCTGCGGCTTGGCTCTGTCCAGATGTCTGTCTTCATCTGTCAAGATGTCTGTTCTTGACTCAATATGAAAGAGTTCGTTGTATCTTAGCAGCAGCAACTTAGGTAACTCTTTAATTTTTTTCCTATGTTTTTTTTCTTCAATAAATGATATTAGAGTGATTCTGGGGACAACCTAGGAAGAACCACAATCCATAAGATAAAACCATGAGTCATAAAGGTTGCACAAGGAGGTTAATGCATTTTAGGGTCCTAGAAAACTGTAGTTTTGCAACTAAAAAGGAAAAAGGCCTTATACTATCAGACCTTACTCAAGATTTGTTGCTATTTGAGCATTCTGACCTGAATGCTCAAATATATATCCCTATATAAAAGGAATGTGGCCTATATGTGATGCTTAAAGTCTCTTGACTCTAAGTCTCTTCTGGTAGGGGGTTTTCCCTTCCCACTTCCCCCTAATTTTCCTTGTCTGTTTTTTTTTTTAAATCATGCTCATTACTACTTCCCCCAGGGGAAGGAAATCCCACTAAGAGCACACACCTTGTGTGCCCTAGTGGAACAGTCCTCATAGGAATGAAGATATTCCAGAGAGACTTGTGAGTCTCCCTTCTTGATATCATTTGGAGGCATTGACCCCAGGAAATTGGAATTTCCCCAGGAGTCTCATCTTGAAGGAAGGAAAAGGCTTAGAGCCTGTGTCAACATGAAGAGAAACTTGTTCACACAGAGTTGCCAGACAACCTTTCAGGATAGACTGGAACTAAGCGGGACCGTGATGGATGGAACTTCTTAGCTAGACACACCTGTTGCCCTAAATGTCACGTCAGAATCCTGAAAATGGACTTGGGAATGGTGTGTGTCACTGGACTTTTTCCCTGTGTGACTGTTTCTCTGCTTTTTACTATTTTATTGACTTTTTGCAGATGCCAGGGCTCAGGCTCTGACACAGAAGAACTCCCGAAACGCCAGCGCCTAAGCCAGTGTTTAAGTTGGCACATCTTAAATAAACAGGCTAAGCGGTCCTGTTCCTTCAAAGTCATCAAGCCTTCAGTTTTCTCGAGGTCACTAAGGAACCTTGGCAGTATCTCCCTCCTTTATTGAGTCTGAAGGTCAGGGCTGAAGTCCTGACTTTACCTCCTGAAACCAGAAGAGGCCGTAGAACCCCGGCCTGGGGCCCGGGCCTGCCCCTGTTGCCATGACAGCGGCTCCGCCCCCAACGCCGGAGCTCCGGGACTCTGATTGGCTGGGAGGCGGGCTCTTTCTCGAGATGGGTCCGCCGCCGCCATTGTACAGCGCTGCTCCCAGCGGAAGGTTCCGGCTGTGGCCAGTACCTCGGGGTCTCCGCGTCGCCCGGCAGGTCCGGGGCTCCGGTCCGTGCCGGTGCAGGCGCCGGCATGTGGCTGTGGGAGGACCAGGGCGGCCTCCTGGGCCCCTTCTCCTTCGTGCTGGTGCTGCTGCTGGTGTTGACGCGCAGCCCCTTCAACGCCTGCGTGCTCACCGGCAGCCTCTACATCTTGCTGCGGCTCGTCAGCTTCGAGCCGGTGCCGTCCCGCCGGGCCCTGCAGGTGCTCAAGCCCCGTGGCCGCGTGTCCGTCATCGCCCACCGCGGCGGCAGCCATGACGCGCCCGAGAACACGCTGGCGGCCATCCGACAGGTGAGCCCCGCACGCCTCAGGCCTGCTTCGCCGCTGGCCCCTCTCCTCCGCAGCCCGGCCCCGCAGCCCTTCCTACTGCTGCTATTTCTAGAGTCCCGCAGGTACTTGTAGACTTGGTTTGTGCCGGACCCTGGGGTGACAATCGCGAACCAGGCAAAGCTCCTTTGGCACGGCTTCCGTCGGACTTGAGAGAGATAATAGCATACTTTTAAGGGTGGGGGAATGATGCAGTTTGTGTAGCAGAAGTAAAGGAGTGGACGGGAAGATTTGCCGCAGAGTAGTCTTCTGTGGACTAGAGATGTGTGGACTGGAACTAAAATTACAAGGAGCCTTGGGATCAGTGGGAAGTGTTCCAGGAATTGCTAATGGCAAGTGCAAAGGTCCCGAGGTGAGGCTGATGTTGGAGTGGTAAGGACCACAGCAGGTTTATTTGTGATCCTGGCTTCGAGAAGCAGAACAAAATTCAGCGTGTGGATGAACTGAGACATGAACCATGAACTAGGCCAAATAGGTTCTGAGTAAATAAGTGTTTCAAGACAGGGTTTCTTTGTGTAGCCCTGGCTGTCCTGGAACTCACGCCTTTGAGCAGGCTGGCCTTGAGCTAAGATCCACCAGCCTCAGCCTCCTGAGTTCTGGTATTAAAGGCTTGTGCCACTACTACCTCTACCTGGTGAGGCGAGATTAGTCCACATTGCTCTTATCACAGGTGTACTTTTTTTTTTTTTTTTTGTCCTCTACTTTACTTGGGTACTATCCTTATCTCTCCAAACACACCTTCATGGTCAACACTAGCAGCTGGACTCCTGGTCAATATTTGTCTCCCCTTTCCACAAGGCACCCCAGAGAATTTTGCTGTCCCCCTGCCCTTGTAAGTACTGTTTTCGTGTTAATGACAGCTTGCATGGCAAGAGCATTTCAGTGAATTGCATTCATAGGTATTGGCTTTGTATCTATGGATTTAATTGTGGATCAAAAATAGCCATAAAAAAAGTGTATGGAGTGTTGGCACAGCTGATCCACTTAATAAAGTTTGCTTTGGGCGGAAGAACTCTGAGAGGTGACTTGAGGGCTGTAGGAGGACATTCCTGGAATATATGCAAATACTACAGCTTTTATTCTTTTTTAAGTTTTGTTTTATTTTGTTTCTTTTTGAGATGTGGTCTCTGTAGCTTTGGCTGCCTGGGAACTGGCCGTCTTGAACTCACCAAGGTCTCCTTCCTCATCTCCCTAGTGTTGGGAGTAAAGGCGTGAATCCCCACACCTGACGTTTTAGACAGCTGTACATCTGGTCTCCTATCTTCAAGACAGATTAGTTGGGAAAGCTGGGACTCCAACACACACAACGCCTTCTAAAATAGAAGTTCTCAACTTTCCTAATGCTGTGACCCCTTAATACAGTTCCTTAAGTTGTGGTGTCCCCAGCCATGAAATTATTTTTGTTGCTATTCTATAACTATAATTTTGCTACTGTTATGAATTGCAATGTAAATCTCTGTGTTTTCCGATGATCTTACCAGGCCCCTGTGAAAGTGTCATTTGACCTCCTCCCCAGGGGTCACGACCCACAGATTGAGAACTGCTGTTCTAGAATAATGCCTCTGATGGGAAGACTTGATGCTCTTTAGCATAGATTAAAATATTTTCCAGGATGTTTGAATGCAGGTTTTCTGTGTTCTTTGTTCATCCTTAGGAACGTGCTCATAATCCAGTACTCTCTACTGAGCACGTGGAGCACCCTAGCGTTAGTCCTAACCTCAGTTTCTCTGTTTGTAAAATGAAAAGAATAATGATATCTATGAAATAGGTGATGTGGAGTCTGGACTAATGCACACAAAGCCTAGTGAATTGCCATGGGTGAGCTATTTCCTGGGGATCTAAAGACAGCTTGGTACCATCTAGAGTGCCATCCCAGAATGAAGATGAGAAACCTAAATCTGAGGAAGGTACAGTGGAAGGACAGCCTTTGAATCGGTGGAGGGCGTGTCTATGCACCTTGTCAGGAGAAGAGCAAAAACACCAATGGCTGTTGGCTCCAGTTCCGCTTACCTTGATGTAAATTGCCTTAAAGAATACTCAGTTAATTGAGCGCAGAAAGTGTTCCTAAGCGTTTGTTGACAGTGTGATGTTTGCCTGGGTTGATCACGTTAAATGAATGAGGAAGCATATGTGTGATGTGAATCCAGAGCTCATCCTGTCGTGTCCTAAGGAAGCAGGGCGGAATTCTCTGTGCCAATGAGCATGTCTTACATGCAGTCACAATGACTCTTACGTTGTACCAGCTGGATTCCCGGTCTGAAGAGGAAATGAAATGTGGCAGGTCAGCCTGTAAGAAGAGCAGGTCTTTGTGGGCCATGACTGTATTTAGCTTCCAGATGCAAACTGCAGAGGACAATTGTGTACGCCCTCTTGACTTGAAAAGACAGTATTTCCAGCTGGGTGGTGGTGGTGCACGCCTTTAATCCCAGCAGAGGCAGGCGGAGGTCTGTGAGTTTGAGGTCAGCCTGGTCTACAGAGCTAGTTCCAGGACAGTCAGGGCTACATAGTGAAACCCTATCTTGAAAAAAAAAAAAAAAAAAGTACACACACACACACACACACAGAGCATTTCCACCAGACTTGTTTTTGTTTTGTCCTTCCCTTTGCATGTTTGCGCCTCAGAATTTATGTTCTTAGACATTCTCCTGGGGACAGAGAGGTTCTGACTGACGAGTCTCTGGCAGGTAATATGCTAATTACACAAAGAGTACTAGCTAAATGTGAAATGAATGGATTAAAAAAACAGCTGTGGTGACACACACCATTAATCTGGCACTCTGAAGGCAGAGGCAAGTAGATCTCCATGAGTTTGAGGCCCACTTGGTCTACCAAGTGAGTTCCAGGACAGGCTCCAAAGCAACAGAGAAACCCTGTCTCAGAGAAAGAGAGAGAGAGAGAGAGAGAGAGAGAGAGAGAGAGAGAGAGAGAGAGAGAGAGAGAGAGAAAGAGAGAACAAATTAGTGGCTTTCATTCATGTTAGTGCTCTTGTTAAAATACTGTGTCTCACCTTATTTATTTGTATTGTGGCCAAATAACCACGGTGAAGAAAAGTACAATTAAATGTCTAGTGCAGCATCAAGAAATGAAGATATTGTTTGTATTATAGTGAAAGAAATGTGTGGTGAACACTGAATTGTGATTTTTGCCCATGGAGATTTGCGGAACATTTCAACTTTAGCTTGGGAATGTTGCAACCTTTAGTATTGTAAAGCTTTGTCACCAGCATAGACCGAAGCTTTTCTTAGAATGACTCACTGAGCTTGTGTTGTTGTAATAGCTTGTGGGGAATACAAACTCTGAGCTGGGTTCCAAGCTCATCACAGACTTTATTCCCACATCCTCACAACTCTGTGGAGCATGATAGGAATGCCATCTTAATGGGGAAGCTGAGCCTAGATAGATGGTAACTCAGCCTAGATGACACAGCCAGAGATGGAATTAGGACTGAAGGGACTTTGTGGTCACATGAGTGAAACTAAAAGATTGTGTAGACTTATAACTGGAGAATCAGGGTGGAAAATAATATTGAAATAAAGTCGAAACACCTCTAACCTTAAACTTAACTGGTAAATCAGACTCATTGCCTTTGAAATGCATGCTCAAAGGGACAGAGTGCGTAAGCATGGTGAATCTGGAGATCTTGCTGCACTAGCACAGTAGTGCATGTCCTCCATGGCACTTCAACAAGTGCTGAGCACATAAACCCTGTGAGGGGACAATACGGGGAGTCACTCATGCCAGCCTTGAGGTGGCAGGTTCTTCAGCAGTAGAGCCACTAATAGTAAAGTCGCAGTGGTTTAGAGTACAGCATTTTTTTTAAGGGTTGAGTACTCTGTCTGCCAGAAGAGGGCAGCAGATCCCATTATTGGTTGTGAGCCACCAGCGGCTGCTGGGAATTGAACTAAGGTCCTCTGGAAAAGCAGCCAGTGCTCTTAATCGCTGAGCCATATCTCCAGCCCAAATTTCTGAATCTTTGTCTAAAAAGTGGGGATGTGACTAATACTTGATTAATAATGTTTGTTGTAAGAATCAACTGAGTCAACCAGGTGGTGGTGGTGGTGCACGCCTTTAATCCCAGCACTAAGGAGGCAGAGGCAGGTGGATCTCTGTGAGTTCGAGGCCAGTCTGATCTACAAGAGCTATTTCCAGGACAGACTCCAAAGCTACAGAGAAACCCTGTCTCAAAAAAATAAAACAAAACAAAAAAGAATCAAACAAGTTGTTAGATTTAAAACAGTAATTCCTGGAAACTAGAAAAGCCTAAAAAAAGTAACTGTTATAACTTTATCATCATGTTTTATCATCTCCTTAGTTAAGTCTGTTAAGGCTTTTTACTGTATACTATGTATGTTTGCAGTGAACCAAAATGAAAAACTATTATCATAATGAGCATTTCCTGTGTTCGTTGTGATGAGGAAGCCAAGCCTGCACACATCAGTGTGTTTCTAAGTTAGTACTTATTTTATTAATTAGTTACTCACATGCAAAACAGAGGACTCTACCACTGAGCTATAGTGGGGCCTAAATTCTTTTTAGAGAAATTCTAATATACCTTATTAAGCTTAACAACTTCTTGGTCCACAGTCAGTGCTACAGACATGATCAAACAGTTGTCCCCTGGTCTTGGTGTTTCTCAGAGATGATGAGGTTAATTCAACACAAACCTGGTTCATTTTGTTTATACCAGAGTTGTGAAATAACTGAGTAACGGGAGCACAGGGCAGTGACCAGCTTTCCCATCTAACAGAGTCCATAGACTTGCTGACCACGGCCTGCTTTTAGATAAGCAACTGTTCATATTATTTTTGATAAAGATATCTTATTTTCCCACGTTTCTATGTTTTTACTACGTCTTAGATATTCAAGTAAGGACACTGCAGACAGTATTCAAGAGCCCAGCTAGCAAATGAAAAATACTCTTCCCAGAACACCTACTGTAGAACATTTACACAGTAGCTCCCGCCCCATGAAAAAACTACTTGAGGTGACTGTTTTTGTATATTAGCTATCCCCCTCAAATGTAATTTATGAAGTATTAAATCTATCAGCAGTTTCTTTAAAATATCAATGCTTTTTATAAGTTAAGTTTTTATACATTCTTGATAAATTACCTCAACCCTTTTATATTATATATTGTTACTAAGGTTGCCAGACTTGGTAATGGGCTTTGTATCTTGAACATAAACTGGCAACTTAGCTGCCACTGATAGTTTTGGTCTTTTTAACTAGTCTGTGACGTATCACAATGGTCCGTGTGTGTATGTGTTTGGATTTTTGGCTTGTCATCCCTGCTAAAACATTCATAAGCTTGAAACTTAATGAGCAAACATTTGCATGTCTACTTTCAGCTAGCCAATTTAGTCTTTGACTTAATTGCCAGGTCTCTTGGAAGTGATATTTGCAGTGGTTAAGTAAATTGGCTTACAAGATGTTCTAGGCTTCCTGCAACATAGATGATCCCTGTTGAATTTCATTATGGCAACTGACCCTACATTCTAGAGTGGAACAGCTCCCAAAGGCTGAAGCTTATACAACAAAGCTTGTCTAGCAAAATAAAGTGTTGGGCAGTCTAAATGCAAGAAAATTATTATACAAAATTTAAAAATGACTATTTTATTCCTTACTGCTAAGTATAAGGGACTGGAGAGATGACTCAGCAGTTAAGAGCACTGCCTACTCTTCTGAAGGTCCTGAGTTCGATTCCCAGCAACCACATGGTGGCTCACAACCATCTGTAATGAGATCTGGTGCCCTCTTGAGGAAGAGACCTGGTCAGTCATCCTCACCAACTTAGACCATGAAACCCAGTATACGAACAAGTTCAACAGAACTGCCATATATGGCTGCCCATGCATACTTCAGCATTGCCAGGGCATAAATTTCATTCAGATTTCAATTTCAGAGTCAAAATGTTCAAAGCCACTATGACTCAGAGAAGGCTTGGGGCCGGAAGTCTCCTCTTTCTGCTACTATGGCAGTGGGAAGAGTGAGAGTTGAGACATTAACATCGATGGGAAACAAGTTCATGTGGGGGCTGCCTAGAAGAGGAAAGGGACAAAAACCTACAAGGCAGCTGTTTGCTTCACCAGCCATGTTGCTTTTCTTTCATGTTTATATATAAAATGCTATCTGTAGCTGTTGACATTAATCTTGTGGATGTTTTTGTTAAGGCAGCTAAGAATGGAGCAACAGGTGTGGAGCTAGACATCGAGTTTACTTCTGACGGAGTTCCTGTCTTGATGCACGATAACACGGTAGATAGGACAACAGACGGGTCTGGCCGACTCTGTGATCTGACGTTTGAACAAGTTAGAAAACTTAACCCTGCAGCAAATCATAGACTCAGGTGAGTCACTGGCGTCATTACACAGGCCCTTCAGCCATTGTGGTGGTCACAGGCAGACACTGTCATCTAAGTATGTCTGTTCCAGAAAAAGTTGTTCATTTAAACTTAATGGGCCTCCTACATAGTGAGCACACACCAACAACAACAGAGATGCTGTGTATGCATTTAACCCTTTCCCAGTGGGAGGTATCCGGCCTCTGCAGCATTCTCAGCGTTGATGCTGTCTGAGTTCTAGTCACTACTTGAGTTATCTCTGCCATCCTTTACATTAGGATCAGAGGCTGGAAGCCATGGCTTGTCAGTCCTCTTACCTTCAGATACCCCAACTTATTCTTTAAGCTGGGCAAGACATGATTCCACTGTTAACCAACTCATCAGATCCTTGCAACAAACTTGTGAGGAATCGTAGACTGTAAGGAGTAGAAGTAGCCTAATAAACTTCCAAAGCAACACTGTCCCATCAGTGGTAATACTCTGTTCCCGCATGGTCCAGTACAACGGTTGGTAAGATCTGGCGTGGTTGGTACAACTGAAAAACTGAATTGTTCACTCAAGTATAGATAAATATTTACACTTAAAAACAGTAGGTAGCTACCATACACTAATCTTCCTTACAGACAGTTACAGAAAAGTTAAATGATCTACTCAAGAGTCAATGATGAGTTCATAAAAGAATAAAAATTAGAGTGAATATCCCAGTTTCAATTAGAAGAAACATGGACCATACCATATTGTCCCTGGTTGCCCTTCATGTCTCTTAATCCTGTAAAAAAACTAAAAACTGAGTTTAGATTTCCAACTAGATTATGTCCTCTCGTATCATCTGTATATGCATGTATGGATACATGCGTGCACACACATGCACACACCAACTAGATTATGTCCTCTCGTATCATCTGTATATGCGTGTATAGATACATGCCTGCCCACACATGCACACATACATATGCACGCACATGTGCACAAATGTATGTTCAGAGCTAGTTTTAGAAGATGTTCCGGAGAGTTCTCTTCTGAATCCTCTGGAAGATAAGCAGCCCACACCAGTCATAAACTCAGCACGTCTGACTCCCAGAAACCCTGAGCCCTTCTTCCTTCCTTCCCTCCACCGAGAGCTGGCCACACCCTGATAATTAAAACACCACTTGATGTGCCTTGAAATTAGGCTGTTTAGATCCCTCCCCTTCTGTCTTTTTAATGTTTCTATGTACTTATTATTCTTTTATGTGTATGGTGCTTTGCCTGCATGTATATCTCTGTCAAATGCATGCCTGGTGCCTACAGAGGTTAGAAGAGAGTGTTAGTCCCCTGGGACTGAAATTAAAGATAATTAGGAGCTGCCATGTAGGTGGTGGGACTCAAACTTGGTTCCTCTGGAGAATAGTCATTGCTTTTAATTTCTGAGCCATCTCTCTAGCCCCCTGTCTTCATTGTGATAATAAAAACATGTGCTCATTTTTAATGTAATGCCAGTTCCCTGTTCAGTGGCTGGTACTTTTTAAATATCAGTCGTCTGATCCAGTGATGAAGGTCTGTTCTTCTGTAAGATGACTCAGACCTAAAAGAAATTAAAGTCAGCCAAAGCCAACTATCCTGGTGCTGCAAGGACTATCAATAACCTGAAGATCCAGAGCCCACTTTCTGAAATTGCTTTTCATGTCACCAGGAAGTCTTTGCTCTTCTGCATTTGAGGGGAAGGCTGGCAAATTAGTAACCATTAGGTGGATGTCAGGTTTGAGACAGTTGGCCATCAAGCCTAACAACCCAAGTTCTAGCCTCAGGACCTACATCATGGTGGAAGGAGAGAACAATTTCCAGGAGTTTTTTCTCTGACCTCCAGATATGTGCCATGGCATATGTGCCACACTCGCCCTTAAATAGATGTAATAGGCAGACAGTGGTAGCCCACACCTTTAATCCCAACACTTGGGAGGCAGAGGCAGGCAGATTGCTGTGATTTCAAGGTCAGACTGGTCTACAGAACAAGTTCCTGGACAGTCAGGGCTACACAGAGACCCTGTCTCAAAAAAGCAAAATAATTGAATGAATGAATGTAATAGATTTTGGTTGTTTAAGATGTCAGGTTTAAAGTTAACACAACAAAAAAAAGTGCTTTGGGTCAGTATCCCCATTTGGGATCAGCAAAGAAGGCATAGTATTATAGTGCCATCTTTTTTTTTTAAAAAAAAAGATTTATTTATTATATACAGTGTTCTGCCTACAAGTATGCCTTCAGGCCAGAAGAGGGCACCAGATCTCATTATAGATGGTTGTGAGCCACCATATGGTTCCTGGGAATTGAATTCAGGTCCTCTGGAAGAGCAGTCAGTGCTATTAACCGCTGGGCCATCTCTCCAGCCCTAGAGTAGCATCTTAATGTCTTCACATAACTACTTTAAGAGGTTTTTGATATTTTGGTTTTTTTTTGTGTGTATGTGTGTATGAATGATATGCAATGGGTGTCTGTGCACCATGCGTGTACAGTGCTTAAGGAGTCTAGAAGAGGACAGCAGATCCTCCTGAATTGGAGTTACAGACAGTTGTGACCTGCCGTGTGATTGTTGGGAGCAAGGAATCAAGCCGTGGTCCACTGGAAGAGCAGCCAGTGCTCTTAACCACTGAGGCATCTCTCTAGCCCCACATAACTACTCTTAATTCCACAATTACAATGGATAGCTTTCCCAGTGATTGACTCCAAATGAAGTACTTGCCTTAGATTAGAACTGTGTGTCAGGAAAAATAGGCGTTTTGACTCTAGCTAGTTAGGTGTAGTGATGCCTGTGCCTGTAATCCACTACTTAGCAAGAAGGTCAGAAGTTCCAGTCAGCCTGGGCTATATAGTAAGACCTTATCTTAGCAAAACAAAATAAGAGGGCAGGATGTCAAAAGAGCAGCAAGCTTAGGGTTCCCTCCCCCTCTCTTCGTGGAGTGGACATCAGCCCAAATGGCTGGTGGAATTGCCTGTAACATGTAAATTATCCCGTGGGCCTTTGCAAGCCAAGATCTGATAGTAATAGGTTGGAATGGGCACAGATTAAACCATGTAAAGCTTCATTATGAGAAAGCTGATTTGTTGAGTATCAGCCCCTTAAGCTTCATTTTCTTTCTTTTGTTTTTGTTTAAAAATTCAAACATTTTATTTTATTGCTTTATAAATAATACCATTCAAAATTTCCACCTCCTCCCCTCCTCCCATTTCTCTCCTGCTCCTCCACTCTCACGCCCTCTTCCCCTCCAGTCCTAAGAGCGGGCAGGGAACCCTGCCCTGTGGAAAGTCTGGTTTATTCCTTTTTAATGTTATACCTCTTCCATCCAGGCCTAGGAAGGTGTGCATCCAAACAGACTAGGATCCCAAAAAGCCAGTACATGCAGGAGAATCAAATCCTAGTGCCATTATCATTGGCTTCTCAGTCAGCCCCCATTGTCAGCCACATTCAGAGTCCGGTTTGATCACATGCTCGCTCAGTCCTGGTCCAGCTGGCCTTGGTGAGCTCCCAAGCTTCATTTTCTTTAGCAGAATGATTTTCTCAACCTTCCTAATGCTGTGACCCTTTAATACAATTCCTCATGTTGTGGTGACCACTAACCATAAAATTATTTTTGTTGCTACTTCAAAACTGTAATTTTGCTCCTGTTATGAATTAAAATGTAAATATCTATGTTTTTAGGTGATCTTAGGACCAATAACCAATGAACCTTGCTCTTTTTCTGTACTTCTGCTGTGAGCCATTCTTTATCCTCTCTTACAGAAATGAGTTCCCTGATGAAAAGATCCCTACCCTGAAGGAAGCCGTTACAGAGTGCCTCAACCACAACCTTACAATCTTCTTTGATGTCAAAGGCCATGCAGATATGGTACAGTTCATTCCATGCACTTTGTTTTTTTTAAAGAGATATCTTATGTAAGGCTTATCATTTTCAAAGCTAATCTTGTATTTTCTGGTTTATTCCTTTTTAATGTTATACTTACTTAATGGAAGTATAAAATGCAGTTCATATTTTACATTTTGAAAATGCTTTCCTTTTGTGGAGCCTTCTGCAAGTCTTCCAACCGCACAGTGTCAGTGTCAGGTTATACAGAACAGATTACCAAAAGACGTGCTGTAAACAGTAAAGGGCACCTCTGCAGCAGACCACTCCCTGAACAAAAGCTGAGAGCTTGCACACAGCCCTGTTCTTCACCTCTGTCTCACAGGCTGAGGATGCTGGACAGGGACCTGCACTGCCTTTAAAAGGAACTGCTGTACTCGGAGCTTCTGGCAGCTCACGGGACAGGCATGTCCCTCAGGCAAGTGCCATCACTACATACAGTGCTGTTACTCAGTGAGTTGAAGATCTGTTCTTTTCTCAGAAGATTGCTGCATTTTCTTCAAATGTGTATGAAATTCCTAAAAACAAAAATTTACAACATGTGCTCTGTCCACAAAGGCACATTGCATTGGAAATTACTGATAAAACACAGTTCTGATGTCATTGTCTAATAACCAGCTTTTGTGAGTATTTGTCCTGTAGTCCCAGTTATTAGTGCCCATCACTGGAGAATTCTTTGTTTTTTAAATTTATTTATTTATTTATTTATTTATTTATTTATTTATTTATTTATTTAGTGTACAGTGTTCTGCCAGAAGAGGACACCAGATCTCATTATAGATGGTTGTGAACTACCATGTGGTTGCTGGGAATTGAACTCAGGACCTCTGGAAGAGCAGCCAGTGCTCTTAACCTTTGAGCTATCTCTCCAGCCCCTATATTAATTTTTTTTTAATTTTTAATTTTTTTTATTTTTTATTGAGCTCTACATTTTTCTCTGCTCCCCTCCCTGCCTCTCCCCTTCCCTTCAACTCTCTCCCAAGGTCCCCATGCTCCCAATTTACTCAGGGAGCATCTTGTCTTTTTCTACTTCCCCACTGGAGAATAATCCCAGGAAATAATTTAAAGCAATTATTAGAACCAGAAGTATGAGCATAAGTGTACACTTGAATTTTATTACAGTAAACTACCATTTTTAAGGAAAGAGGAGAATGTTTGTAACTATTATTCCAATAAACTGATGGTTATAAGTATAAAAATACTTAGGCCAACCAGAATTCCTGAAGAACCTATTCTGCTTCAGTAGGCCAGACTTGAGGATTTTACAGGTCACATCACAGGAGGAAGGAACACCGAAGAAGTCTAACATGGGGGTCAAGTGAATTTCTAAATATTTATTTGTATATTTGGTGCCTAGGATTGAACACAGAGTTCACACGTGTGCCTACCACCCAGCTGTGCCCACAGTCGCAACACACGTGTCCTTAATGAGACCTCAGGCTTTGTTGCTGATGTTGTCTCTGTTGGGAGCCCTGACAGGTCCCACATTTCACCCAGAATGCTGTTCTTCCTGTCTGGTTTTGTTTGTTTGTTTGTTTTAATGTGGTGGGGGGAGGATTAAGAAGAAGCTGTTTAAAACCCTTCAGCCCCTTGTTTCCAGATGGCACTTAGAGTATTCAGCCAAGGTTGGTGGAACACAGCGATCTCATTGACCAAGATGGCAGTACAGGGGCAGGGTGTTGGCGAGAAAGCTGACCAAGGGTCAAGGCTTTGGACTCTGACAGACCCTGGCTGAGCTGTGTGTTTGCTACAGGGTAAACTCGACATGCATCACCTTCCTTGTGGATAATGGGAATAATGGAATATAGGGTTATGAGAAGTTACCTTCTCTCCCAGTTCATTAGTGTAACTTCTCTGCTCCCCTCTACTTTGGGGGAGTATGTGTCATGTTCCAGAATCAGCAGTGTTCAACAGTGGTGATGTCTGGGGTGTCTGATGACTCTTACTGTGTTAGCTGCTACTGACATTCATTCAGAAGATTAGAGATGTTTGGAATCTCTGTTACCTCCCCCTTGTCTATTAGCTGGGCTGCTGTAGAAAGAGACTTGGGTTCCACTTGGGGAGAGTTGAGAGACTTCCAGCTCTTTCCCATCCCTCTCACCCCCATTGCTTCCCTTGCATTCTCCATGATGGGTGGTGGATCTCTCAGTCCTCTGTCCTGAGCAAATCACCCTCTGGAGTCCCCAGCTGGGAGCCTTAGGTATCTCCTAGGCTAGGTAGACTGAGGGCATGAAAGAACTCTTCCTTCCTAGTGATAAACCAGTCAGAGGAAGGGCGTTTGCAGTTTTGCTTCTAGCTTCCTCTGGCCTATATGACTGCCATGCTGCCCCAAAGTGGGTTCTTGGTGAACCTTTCAACATGGTGGTAATACAGCAGTACCTGGCTGCTTTCTTCTGCTGCTGTGGATTTAAAATGTACCTTGGTGTCAGTGAAGGTGGCCACTGCTTCCAGTATCTCCCTATGCAGTATTGGCACATGTCTGATTCAGTGTCTAGCATTTGCACTCACCATGCAATAGCTGCTTGCTGGCACAATGGTGTTTTGGTAGATTTTAACTACATGAGTCTCTATTATACAGGCTTCTGCTGCTCTAAAGAATATCTACATGGAATTTCCACAGCTGTACAATAACAGTATGGTCTGCTCATTCTTGCCAGAAGTCATCTATAAGGTAAGTCTGACTTTTCTTCGTATGTCACAGTAGGTTAGTTGCTGGAGGGAATAGCAGCGGGCTCTGCGAGTGTAAGATAGATGCCTGTCACACTGGACTGAATGCAGCCATAGTCGAGAGGCTCTTTGTTAGGGCAGGGGAGTCTCTCAAGGTGCTCGCTTGTTGCTCACAGCCCTCTTCAGAACACCTTCTCTTAGGCAAGCACATTGCAAGCTCATTCATGTCACCTCGGTAAACATCGTCAGAAGGAACACGAGTCCACAGCCCTACTTCTGAAGTAACAATAAATATGCCTTAAAAACAACTCTTGCCATGGGATACACTCATAATCCCAGCACTTGGAAGAACGAGACAGGAGGATTTGAGTTTGAGGTCTGCCTGGGCTGTTTAATGAAATCCTGTCTCGAACAACAACAACAACAAAACCTTCTTCTGTAGTGTTTCAGATGCATATAAAAATGGTTACTGCACGAATCCCCTGTAGCCATGATCTTGCTTGTTTCCTCTGCCCCATTGATCTTCCCCAGTAAGCCCTTACTTACTGTCATCAAAGATTAGAAAAACAAAAATATTTATGTCTGAGGAGTTCTATGAATGTCTTTAATTTTTTTCAAATAAGAATTGGTTATTTATAGTTTAAAAGAATTCATTTTCATCAATACCCAAATAAAATATCCCTCCCCCTGCATGTGTTCATTGGAGAAACCAGATGCTTATATCTGAATATGCACATATGTGCATGTGAGCATGTGTGCAGTGTGCACAAGTGTGTGTGTACTGCTAGGGTCTCATGCTCTGCCACTGAGCTATGTTCCTAGTCCTGACATTGCTTATATTGTTGCATTTATCCATGTCTGGATTTGGTGGTTGTACACTCATGAGGTTTTATAGGCTCTCCCCCACTTTGCTTCCTGTAAACTGGTAAAGTAAGCTAAGAACTCATTTAGTTAGAATTGATTGTTCTCAGCAAGGTCTTGTCCTAATGGGAGGTGTGTGCCCATCAGGAGACACACTTCATCTCTTGGGCTGTGGCAGCTTTGTCATGGATTCTTGGTGTCATTGGCCAGGTCTGTTAGTTTACTAGGAAGTTATGAAATGTTAATATTTTATGCAGAATCTAGAATTCATCTATAAATGAGATTCCTGATCTATCATTTAGTTCTCCTATAAAAAGGTAATTACTTACTCTTTCTCTTTATTTGCTATCTTACAAAGTAATGAGTTATGTGGCATCCTTCCACAATGGTCACCAGAGTATACATTGAAAATGTTTGCAGGGGGACCGTGCCTGCCAGTCCAGACCTTCACAGGATGAAGTCATGGGGCTGACAGACACATGGATTCAAGCTTTCCAGGCTTACTTGGTTACAGAGGCCCTTAGAGTGTGTAATGCTTTCCTGTGGAGCTGAGAGCACAGCCTGCGGTACCTCCTCCCAGGCTGCCCCATTCCTGCTCTGCCCTCTCTCTCATCCCCTCACAGCCCCTCTTCTTTCCTTCTCTATCCCTTCCCCTCCCTATAGTAAGCTCTTCAGTCTTACCATGAACAGGGTTGAAATTAACCAGTCCATCTTGAAATGCTTGTGCCTCCATCCTCATTGAGTTCTGAATTTAAAATTGCTCTTCAATTAATTCAACTAGAAGTTTATTTTCATGGCATTATTAAAATTGACCCTAAAAGTTGGGCGTGGTGGTGTGCATCTGTAACTCCAGCATTTGGGAGCCTGAGGCAGGAGGATTGGTGCATTTGGCCAGCCTGAGCTACAGAAGACCCTGTCTCCAAAAACCCAGACAAGCAAACAATAAACCTTGACCCTGCAGTTGACATTTTCTCTCTCACTTCTCTGTGTGTTTCTACTGAACCTGGGGCCTCCTGTGCGGCCACTCTGCTGCTGGGCTCCCCAGCCCAGTTCTCTCACGTTGATAGGAGCGCAGTTCCTGTAGAGCTGAGAGAAGAAGGGCCTCGATTGCGCTGCATATTGAATACCTACATCTGTGCTGTTTTCTCAAAGGGTTTGTGAGAGGTGACGTACTTAATAGCCATGGGGCTAGGCACCATGGCCTTCTCATCAAAAGGATATTTGGTAAATCTAAAATACTGAGAAACTGTAGACTTATGAGATGATCATTTTATTTTCCAAAATTCCTTTTCAGATGAGACAAATGGATCAGAAAGTAATAACAGCCCTAACTCACAGGCCTTGGAGCCTGAGCCATACTGGAGATGGGAAGCCTCGCTACAGTGCCTTTTGGAAGCAGTCCATATTTGTGGTGTTGGACATCTTGCTTGACTGGAGCATGCACAATGTCTTGTGGTACCTTTGTGGAATTTCAGCCTTCCTCATGCAGAAGGATTTTGTCTCCCCGTAAGTTGGAAGTTGTCTCTTGGCCTCACATGTCCCATGTGCTCCTTCTAGGAAGGAGGGGTTAGAGCAGTGGGCAGACTGGGTTGTTTGTGACTCAGTGCCTGTGCCTGGTAGGTTAGAGTGCTGTCAGGTGTTGGAAGAGTGTGGGAAGATGCCAGGCCTAGTTCACTGGTTCAGAGCAGGCCGATTGGATATTCTCAATGTTACAGTTTTATTTGTTTGGTTTTTTGCTTGTGTATGTGGTGTTCGTATATGTTTGTGTGTGTCTGAAGCTCACTGATGCAGCTGGTCAGCTAGCCAGCTTTTCCTCGGCACCTCCTGAGCACTGGGATTACAGGTGGGCTGTCATGTCTCCCATTGACTGTATTAGGAGCACAGGGCATGCCGGGTTCCCAGCATCCATTGACTGTATTAGGAGCACAGGGCATGCTGGGTTCCCAGCAGCCATTGACTGTATTAGGAGCACAGGGCATGTCGGGTTCCCAGCAGCCATTGACTGTATTAGGAGCACAGGGCATGCCTGTTTCTCAGCCGTCTGCAGTAGGAGGGCATCTGGAGGCTCTCTGGGAACTGCTGATACTCACATGCTCAATTCCAGGGACAACTGCTCGTTCTAATACAATTGCTATTTCCCTTCCTCCAGGGACTATTTGAAGAAGTGGTCAGCTAAAGGAATCCAGGTTGTTAGTTGGACGGTCAACACCTTTGATGAAAAGAAGTACTACGAGTCCCATCTTGGGTCCAGCTACATCACTGACAGCATGCTAGAAGACTGTACACCTCACTTTTAGATTCCCTGGGAGGAAATACCATAGCAAACTGCCTGGAGGCCTCTCGCAGAGACATCAGAATATTCTTTTAGCACAAGCCCTGGGGCTCCTGTGGCTCACACTAGCAATAGTTGTATTTTCACCCACAAGCTGAAACTAGGTGTGGCCACCATGCTCCCGGGAAGGCTCGACACTGTTGCACTTGAATCTGGATCTGCGCAAAGGCAGGATGGTCCTGCCCCAAACCCGCTGAGGGTACAGAGCCATGAGGATGAGGATGAGCAGAGTGGGTCCTGCAGTTAGGACACAGGCATCAATGCATGGGGCTTGCACGATCACTCCGAGTTGACATTTTAAATCTTGCCATACTTCAGTAATTCATTTATTTCCAATATTGTCGTCAGCTCTGTTAACGGCGACCTGTAGGTGTCAAACTTGTGACCATACTAATAAAATCATTGAAAGGTGAGCAGAGTGCAAACTGTGTACCAAGCCTTCGGTCCTAAAATGTTGGGGTTTGGGGGGGAGGCTGCTCTGTGCAAGCTGGAGGCCTCACCTGCTTTAGTCACAGTGCAGAGGAAGCCAGGAGAACCCCAAGGAATTATTGGTGACTTGTTAGCATAAGCACTTCTGACCACCAGGGGGCAGAGCGGCGGCTTGCTTGGGATCTCAAGCACACACTGCCTCTTAAACAAATGGAGCTGGAGGGTGCTCCTAAGGAGCCCCCACTGCTCTTCATTTCACAGCTGGGGAAGCACAGACCACTGGGCAGGGAGTGCAGTCTCAAAACAGCGGGGACCGTGCTCAGGGGAACTACTGTTCCTTTTTCTCTAGTCATTACACTAGGAACTAAATGAGGCATTTATATACATAATCATCTGCAACCCTCCAAAAAAGCTTACAAATGTGTTGGCATCATCTTTATTGATGAGGAAGCTGAGGCACCACTGACTTAGTTACATAACTGAGTCCAGAACATAGTTGGCAGTCAGTATCCAATTCTGGGTGATCTGACTCGGTCCTCATCATCCCTACATTAACAAAGAAGGCTTCTATTGGGAGCATAGCAGTTTTTTTTTTATTTTTTATTTTTTTACATTTTTGTTAGGGGAGGGAATAACACAAGCCATCATTGCTACCGTGGAAGTTAGAAGATGACCTGCAGAAGTCTGTCCTGTCCCTATGTGAGTCCCTGGGATTGAACTCAGATCCCTGGGCTTGGTGGCAAGCACTTTTACATGCTGAGCCTCTCACCAGTCCTTAAGTAGCTTTTTGGTGGTTTTTTTTTTGTTGTTGTTGTTGTTGTTGTTTTTTTTTTCTTTTTGGATGCTAGAAATGGAACCTAGGCTTTACACGATAAGCAGGCTTTCTGTCAGAGTTATACCACCAGCCCTCTTTTTAAAAAGATTTAAACCAGGCAATTGTGCACACCTATAATCCCAGCACTCTAGAGGCAGAGGCAGGCAAATCTCTGAGTTCAGGCTAGCGTGGTCTACAGAGTGAGTTCCAGGACATCCAGGACTATACAAAGAAACATCCATTTCAAACAAAGTCAAAAATGTTAAAGGACATTTACTGTGGGTGTGAGTGGAGATCACAAGACAGCCTGCCTGAGCCCTGTCCTTACACCTTTTGTATCCCAGAGACTGAATCCGGGTCATCAGGCTTGCTGAGCACCTGTCTGCTAGGCTCTTAACTGCCTCCTAGCCTCTTGAAGGTAGAGTCTCACTAAGCTGTTCAGGATGGCCATAAATTAGAAACCTCTCAGATTCCCAAGTAGCTGAGATTACAGGTAAGCCCCAGGAGACCCAGCTGTACGAGGCTAGGTTGTGGATCTGACAAAAGCCACAGATGGGACTGAAAGGGAGGGTTGGGAGGGGGAAGCTAGCAGGGGCATGTGGGTCAGTTTTAGGCTGACTGTGATGGTGTACATCTGTAATCCCAGTATTTGGGTAGCAGAGGCAGGAGGATCTCCATTTGGAATCTAGCCTGGCCGCATAGTCTCCAATATTTAAAACTTTTGGTTTCTGTTTTAGTTTTTTGGTGCTGGATTGAACTCACAATAAGAATATACTCCACACTGAGCTCTAACCCCAACCCCAAGGAGGTTCATTGGAGAAATTTAACATTGATTAAATATCTAAGCATGTCACTATGACCAAGTGACAAGTGGGAGGAGAAAGTGACCCCTGAAAACACATTTGAGGCCTGATTGAGCCTTGGGTCCCTTGAAAATGGCTGCCTGGCATGTGATAAAGTGGGTTGGCCCTTGGAAGAGCTGCAGCCCTTCTGGAGACTTGAGAGCCTCCTGATTTCTCTCCAAATCCATTTTGCCCTTGACTCAGCCAAGTAGAATTTAAGACTTCAAGTCCTTTGCTAATGGGACCTGGGCTCAAGTGAATCCTGAGAAAGTGTTAGTACCTGCTGTTAGAGCTCCCTTGGGATGCTTAGTCTGGGCTGTAACTTGGAATCTGGGTCTGAGAAAATGGGATCTTGTAGGCTGATTTTTTTGGGGGGGTGGGTTTGGGACCGCTGGCTCTCCAATAATGACTCAGAGACTTATTAATTATAAAAGCTCAGCCTATAGTTTAGGCTTGTTTCTAACTAGCTCTTAGAACTTAAATTGATTATCACCATTACATGAAAGAGTGTTGCAAAAAGAAAAACCCTTTAACTGAAAAAAGAAAAGAATACTAATCGTCAGCATTCACTTAAGGGTGTTCGTTTGAAAGGCTGAAATGTTTTGAGTAGCATTTAGTTCATCTTAGAGATATCGGCTGCCGACTTCTTGATGTAGGGCTGTTATTTTAAACCAAAGTAAATCATAAAAACATCTTTAGGTTGCAAAAAAATGACACTCTGGAAAAACTGGACTTCTGATCCGTATTAAAAGGCAGTACTGTCTATTAGATACAGCTGTTGCCCTTAAATTTGAGGCCACAGAGGAAAACCAAGTGTTACCTAGTATTTTTTTCCCATTATCATCATTTCAGGATTACATTATTTTTGTTGAAAATTACCAGAGTAAAAAACTAATAAATTAGCAAGAATTTACATCTGATAAATCATAAATTCCCACATTGAGTGCCGTGCACCTCCCTGCTCAGGACTCTGAAGCTGTGTTGATATTGTATCCCTGTGTGTGTCTCCGCATAACCACGGACACATCTCTTTATACATCTAACACGGTCTTGCCATGCTTGTGGAGCCCAGGCTGGTCTCTCAAAGTCATTGTGGACTAACTGCTTCAGCCTCTAGAATGATGGGATTACAGCCAGAGGATGCTGTGCCTGGCTTTGTCTTGTCATTGTTGGATTCTATTTCTCTTCCTCACCAGAAACAAACTTTCATTACTAGAAGTAAGCCTTTTTTGGCAGAAACCCCCAAACTTGATCAGATTTCCATCAGCCCATTGGAGACTAGATTCTGAAATGCCTCGCTCAGCACTTTCTAACCAGCTCACCAGACCCTCCTCATCTGAGAGTATTACTACGCTTCCTTTCCGTTTCATATACCAGCATTTGAAACATGGCCCGAGGCTGGGAATGTAGTTCAGTTGGTAGAGAGCTTGCCCAGCATGTGGGAAAGCCTGGCTTCAATCCCAGCAATGCATAAGCAGGCACAGGGGTACATACCTGTAATCCCAGTACTCAAAGAGTGGAGCCGAAGCATCAGAAGTGCAAAAGCATTCTCAGCTACATAATGGTTGAGGGCCAGCTGGAGAAATGTGAGACCTCATATTTGGTTTCTAGCCATAAATAAAGGACACTGAGCCTATAATTTGTGATCCTAGAGAAGCTAAATAAGAAGGTGAACCCAAAGAAAAACATATAGGCATCCTCCTGAATATTAACCTTCATCAGGCGATGAAAGAAGACAGAGACAGACCCACATTGGAGCACCAGACAGAAATCTCAAGGTCCAAATGAGGAGCAGAAGGAGAGAGAGCACGAGCAAGGAACTCAGGACCGCGAGGGGTGCACCCACACACTGAGGGAATGGGGATGTTCTATCGGGAACTCACCAAGGCCAGCTGGCCTGGGTCTGAAAAAGCCTGGGATAAAACTGGACTCGCTGAACATAGCAGACAATGAGGACTACTGAGAACTCAAGAACAATGGCAATGGGTTTTTAATCCTACTGCACGTAATGGCTTTGTGGGAGCCTAGGCAGTTTGGATGCTCACCTTACTAGACCTGGATGGAGGTGGGTGGTCCTTGGACTTCCCACAGGGCAGGGAACCCTGATTGCTCTTTGGGCTGAAGAGGGAGGGGGACTTGATTGGGGGAGGGGGAGGGAAATGGGAGGCGGTGGCGGGGAAGAGACAGATATCTTTAATAAATAAATAAATTAAGAAATGTGAGATCTGTGTCTCATCAATTCACAAGTAAACAGCAGCCCCAAGCAGCCCACAGTAGACAGTAGTGAAGGTTGTCGGCACTGAGAGAGAGTGGGCAACCCGCCTCTGAACACACTCTTCCAGTCAGTCAAGCTCTCCAACGTGTCAGCCTCTGAAATCTGGCTGATGGTTTTGATTTGGTTCCTCAAGGAGGGCCATGACTTGTGATTACTTGTGGTTGTGCTGAAGAGACAATGTGCTCAGGACCAAGGCCATCACAGTTGGGATCCGGACTCTCCACCTCAGGTAAGCCTCCTGACCCCCAGCTCCAGCACAGGAGCCACCATCTCTGCCACATATCCAGAGAAGCCAGGAGGCAGGGTCTTTTGACTCTGAAATCTAATCTTTCTTCTACAGCTCTCAGGTTAGACATTTCAAAGCATTTCATTGTCTCATTTGATTCTCAGGGGGTTCTATTCCTTTTTTTTTTTTTTTTTATTTTATTTTATTGTTTTTCGAGACAGGGTTTTGCTGTAATTTTAGAGCCTGTCCTAGAACTAGCTCTTGTAGACCAGGCTGGTCTTGAACTCACAAAGATCTGCCTGTTTCTGCCTCCCAAGTGCGGGGGATTAAAGGCGTGCGCCACCATTGCCCAGCTTGTTACTATTTTCTAAGGTGAGGGACTGGAAGAGGCTGAGGAAGAGTAAAGAACTTGCCGAAGGTCACTGATGTGATGAGTGACAAATAGGACCCCGGAAATCTAGGCTTCCAACCCCAATGTTTTCTTCTTTTTGCCACAACCCAATGATGCTGGTTGAAAATGAGTAGAACTAAGGAGATGGATTCCCAAAACCCACAGAAAAGCTGGGTGGGTGTGGTGGCCTACTGGCAATCCTAGATAGGAAGTCCCCATGGCAAGCTGGCTAGCTAGACGAGCCTAAGGGGTGAGCTCCAGATCTGGGGAGAGACCCTGACCCAATATATAAGGTGGAAAGTGATGGGGGGAAACACTTGATGTCAACTTCCAGTTTCTACTTGAATGCACAGCACACACGTGCATATGCACTCCCACTTACACTTGTGCCCACTCACATGTGAACATACATAAACACATGACACACATACGCAAA